TATTGTTATATAAATTTGCCCATTATATTTTTAAATTTTGGGTGTGCCAAATAGTCGGTTGGTTATACCGAATTATTGTGAAACTCTGATAAATCTTTACTACATCAGACTGAACTGGTGTAGTAAGAAAAAAGCTTGATAATCTGATGTACTCTTTAGACTTATGCTTTTTCTTACATTAACTATGATGTGAAGCGAACTATCCAAAAATTTTAATATGTAATGATTATTGTTACATGAAATAAATCACTTTATTTGCTATTGTTCCATTGAACCTACATGTAATGTTTTTACGATATTAATCACATTAATTTGTACAAAACGATTTAAAGATCCATATTCTGTGGACTTCCTTTGAACAAAATTTCCTGTAATCGTTTCTTAAGTAAATGTTTTGTATTCGTCCAGATAAATTACTAAAATTGTGTATAATGTTTTATAATCTTTAGGAAATCGCATTAAAACATGATAAATCATGACAACTACAAGAGAGTGAGCGTATTATCCATGCCTGATCGTCTACAATATGTGCTGACTCCCAGAAAAAGCGAGAAAATGCAATAAACTTAAGCACATTGTAGAGATTTATAAAATTATAAATAGTCGATAAACATAAAGAACTAAAGAACAATAGAAAGACATTTGTTTCTGGTTGACATCTGATGTGGCATTCTCTCTGTGTAGCAGTGAAACAATAAATTGTTATATACAAGTTTCGATAATTTTACGTCTTAACCTTAAGAAAAAGAGTGTGAGCCACCTTGTCGATTATTTCAATTTGGCTCAATACTTTTATTAACTCGTAAAGTTAATTAACTCGCTGCTATTTATTAAACAAACTACAAACATCACAAAACAAATTAAAAAAAGCACATTTTATAATGAACAAATTAATTTTTTAATTTACATTTTAGTAATATTTACTCAATACAAAGTTGCGTGCGCATTCAAATATTACAAGCTGCATTGATTATTAAGCTGAACAATTGTATTTCACTTTTATAAAATCTTTGTGAAAAACACATTACTTTTAATTCTGAAATAACTATATTCTTTAAAAATTGTTACTTTCGAAAATACAATTTCCATTTCAGCTTATAAAATGAGAGTTTCGTCTGTGAGTAACGTTTATCCTACTGCAAAATCAACTGAAAAAGCATTATACCGGAATACATGGGATCCTTTGTTGACCTCCATGATGATATGTGGTTTAAATTATAAAGCAAGTAATATTACATTTTATAATATATTAGTAATTGTTATTGGTTTCTTATACTGCTTTTATTTTATTGCAATAAATATTTCATTTCTCACAATGTATTATTCAGTTACGAATGTTTTAGGAGTCATATTTTACGTTTTTTTCATAATAATCAATTTATTTTCTTTGATTCATTTTCATGTTAAAAAGAATAAAATTCGCAAACTTATTCAGAAGCTTCCAAACCTCAAAGATATTCAGTTCGAAAGTACTTCTCAAAATTATTTAAAGATTAAAGTTATTATTATTTGGATATGTTTATTTGTTTACTGCATTTTAAAATCTGTTACTTCGTCTTCAGATTGGATACATTTTAAAACACTGGGATTTAAACTAAATAGGACTGTACAGATCATTGTATTGATTTTTAATTGCGTACTAGAGTATGTATTTTTCGTCATGCCCGTACGATTGTTATGTCTATTGTTTATTGTTAAATGTGAAATATTAGGAAATGCCTTGAGTGCTTTGCTGAAATTTATTAAACAAGACCAAGTATGTTCTTCACGATTACAATCGAAGTTAAATATGTATATGTATAAGTGTTGCTAATAGTTTGTCAAATATTTATTCTCCAATATTATTTCTTTGGAGTATTTATATCGAATGTAATCTGATATTCACTTTTCACCTACTTTTATATGTTCCGCAAGAAACGAGAGTAAATATCTTATGTGACTTTATTCTCCGTCCGTTAATTTCTTTTTTATATTTTTCCAATTTATGTGTGTCGGTATCTCGATTGAAAAATATTGGAAAGAAAATAAAAAAAGCTTTCGTGGTTTGTTTATCCAGTGATAATCATTTATCACATAGTTCTATCTGTCGTTTATCTCTTCACGTAAAGTGTATTGAAGATTTTCCTGAGTTTATGGCTTGTGAAATGTTTGCTATTAATAAAACGCTAATATTGACAATTGGAAGTGTGTTTGCAACTTACATAATTATACTGAATCAAATGGATTGAGACGTAAAAAAAATTGTATAAATACGTTTAGTGATAAACTATGTCTTCAAGAATACTATTATCGTATGCCATATTCATCGTCAGAAACAATTCTATATTATAGAAACATGCATAATTATTCGACGAAGCTTAATAATTTTATTCCTTTTGTACGAAATCAGAGTAATTAAATGAAGAAAGAATTTTAATTTATTAATTTTCAAACTGCAAGGGTATGTTAATTTACTGTAAACTAATTTGATAAAGCAATAAAGTTAAGTAAAATAACTGAATTGGTTAATTGTGAATAATTTTGTAGAAACCCTGTTGTTTCTTGTCTTGTCTCGTCTTCTCTATTTGGGTGAGATCTTCTACGACATAGCGCTGTTATTTCTTTTTAACATTTATAAAAAAACGACATGTTTTAAATCACAGAATATATATTTAAATAAAGATTAGCTGCACAGACTTTGTATTATATATTACATCTAGAGACATATACAGAGAAAAGTAGGCTGAGTGTTATTTTGGTAATCAATACCAAGCGATAGCAACTTTATATTAATTACAATAAATAATACCAAAGATAAGAAACAAAATCTATTTCAAATTTTGTATTGTATATTTGGTAGATATTTATGGTAAAGTATATTAAGCTATTTAAACTTTATTATTTTTTATTTAATTACCGTTGTTTTTAATATAAAACTACAATTATAAGGCATACTCCCACTTATTTGAGGCACACCTATGAAAAACAATGAAGACATTTTAGTTTCTTTTACGTAATTTTTAAAATACGTAATAACAGTCAATTATTTTAAAAATGAACGTATATAGAATACAGTAGAGCGTCGTTTATCCGAAAGCATGTTATCCGAAACATCGGTTAACAGAAAGCATTCCAGTCAGCAAATTTAAATTTTCGATAGTGCTGTCGCGCTGCAATCTTTGGCTATATCTTGGGCTAATCTAATATAATTTTGGTTGGTGTGTGTGTGTTTTAGCTGGCAGCACTGGCACTTTTGTGTGGTGTTTTTCTGGGGACTCTGTGTTCCTCTGAATCGAACGTTTTTGATACTAGATTAACTTTTAAAGTATAATTTTTTGTTTTTATATTTTTTAATATATTTATTTTGTTTGTAAAAAATAAAGAAATAATTTTTAACGATATAACAGCCATGACTATTATTTTAAAAAGTTTTCGTTAGGCTTAACATCGACGAAAATTCAACGCGAAGCGACACGCAACGGAGAGAAATTTNAGTACATGTAAATATACTTATAGGTATGTAAGGTTACATATAATGTGTGTTATGTATGGGTATATGATTGTTTACGACTATTATCTCTACCTATTCGTAACTTCTGCCACACAGATTAATGTACAAAAAAGGAGCGAAAATGTACATATTTTTCGAAACGCATATCCTCCACAGTTAATAAAGTGCTGTATACTTAACTACGTTGTATTTTGCCGTATGATACGTCTTCTGAAGCAACTTTATGCTCACTCCTACGAATTACGCGATTAGATTTATTTATATATAAATTCATAAATGATTATTTGTTTTATTTGCATTATTGTTGTGAATGCATCAAGCACTTGTTTGCTGTGCTGCACCAACCACGCGATAAATAAATGATTATTAAAATAATTAATACGTAATCGCAACAGTATTTAAAACAGTTATAATTAATTAAATCTTTAATACACGACGATCGTTATTAGTTTAACTCAATAATATCGATAAAACTCTGTAAATAGGTAATTCTACCTCTTTTCAGGTAGTTCAGATTACGTAAATTTTATGCAAAAGTGAAGTTTGAAACGTTATTCATTTAACCTATGAGTCGATTTACGAATGAGTTAGTGCTATACTGAATTGTGAAAAATAGATTATTATACTATACAAGTAGATTATCTGTATTATGTAAGTATAATGTAATATGTTAGATATTTGATTCGTTATTACGATTACCTTCATGCTCACGTGTTAATGTTTACAATTTTTAAATCACTATATTATATTTGTATTTCTTATCTTACATTGAGATACTTAAACTTTATTATATAAAACTATATTTTTAAGGCATACACAACCTATTGACCAGTACTAAATTGCATTTTCCCCTAAACATTTTATGCCCTATTCAGTTAGAATTTTTTGTCTACAATTTTCTTTTTCAAAAGTTTTATAACAAGATTTATGCTGCAACAAGACTAATATAAAATACATGTATACAAAACTACGTAGCTAATATTAATACATATAAGCTACATTAAAAATAATTTTACGTTCGAATTATATTCGAACAAATTTGAACATAAAATTCGAAATAGAGAACCTTCAAGCCCATATCTCCCGCACCCTTATAGCTATCGAGATACAACCTTCCTGGTGCACGAATGGAGACTTGGGGCTACTACTACATACAAACACCATTCATGTGCGATGTGTAGTTTTGGCGGAAATGTGAAATATAGGGACATACACGTCCATATATATATATATATACAGAATAAAGTAGGAAAAATTCTAGATACCACCATATAAGTTTGCTGGAACAATATTTGAGTATCTCTTTTTACAAATAAACATGAAAAATGTCGTTTGTATAACTGAATTTATACAAATTTATAAAATTAGTTTAAAGTTTAAAATAAATATTTTGATCGCGAATATTTTATGTTAGTACTTCGTATTATTGCGATATTATTGTTTATATGATACGACTACTATAAAATCCCGTAAGAAAACCAATTACACAGTTGTTATTTGTTTTACATGTATAAATGTACCACGGTTTATAGTAACGAAATTTTTAATGTTAGAATAGTTTTTGTAGTTGAATTGTAGACAGTCAATTTTCTTAACTTCTTTACAATCAGCACAGAAAAGTTAGGGAGAATAAGCAAAACAAGTAAGTTTTCAGTAATTTATAGAGCTTCTTGCTCATACTATAACCATTATAATTTTTGCATTGATACACAATTTTGCTTTTAGGGCTTATCAAACTGACTAATTTGACAAAAGGAGTTTATTATTTAATCACATACACTTATTTACATAAATATGTTAACTTTCATATACACGATTACAAATATATATTAATTTCAGGCTTTATAATGGCTCCTCTTCAGTTATACAAATGGTAACTTAAAGTATACGTTAACTAAGTCTTCTTGTCAAATCAGTCAGTGTAGTAATCTCTAAAAGGAGGGCTGAGAAGAGTAATACAAGAGCATTATAAATTATTTTAAAAAAGTGTATTTTTATCTTTAGAAAAATATATTCTTATTGTTATTTAAATTTAAAAAATATTTGTTTAATAATAACATTTAAAATCATTATTTAATAATTAAATGTAATAAAGTGTTATTAAGGTTACAGTACCGCTTGATGTAGTTAAACCAGTTCGTCATTAGTTTATAAGATGAAAGTGCAACGAGTACAATATGTTTACCAAACTTTTATTTTTTAGATAAATAAAATGTTTTTCGTTGTAAAAACAATTTCCTACTTTCAATTGTTTTTACAATTTTATATTTTAATTTACAAACGAACAAATAGTAACCTGTTGCCAGTTTATTTTATAATTAGATTTAATTTACATTACAATTAAAGGGTACATTTGACCATGTGTAAATCCAGGATCAACTGTGTTCGGTTGTGTTTTTTCAGACACTGTTAGATCCAGATTATATGATAAATTATTTATTGCATACTTTATAATTTCGAATCATTTAAAGTTGAAAGTAAGTAGGTTGAAGTAAATCGAAGACTGTAAATAGGTTAAGTTATATTCTTGTAATAACAGTAAACAGAATTGTTCGAAAAGCGAGGCGTTCGAAACTCAAGATTTGGCTGTCTCTGTTCCAAACTGATAGAGGTAACGCGAAATATTGATGTTAATAAAGAAATAATAATAAGTACATACAAAACATAAGGTTATTGATTACTAGCTATTTATGATTTCATATACTATAATAATAATTTTATCTAAAAAACAGTAATAAAGATATAAATGAATGTTAAAAGTATTGTGCAGAAAATACTTAACCCGAAATGATGGAGCCAGTTCAACATAAATAATAAAAAATAGTTTTATTTATTATTATTAATTACTAAGTATTATGCACATATTTTAAATTAATCACAGTAGAGCGTCGTTTATCCGAATCAATTGCGAACTGGGGTTGTTCGGCTAACTTATTTTTCGGATAACCGATTATGTACGAAAAAATATATTAACCTATCCCGTGTTGAAATTTTACTCCGTTGCGTGTCGCTTCGCGTTGAATTTTCGTCGATGTTAAGCCTAACGTAAACTTTTTGAAATAATAATCGTGGCTATCGTATCGTTAAAAATTATTTCTTTATGTTTTACAAACTAAATAAATACATTGAAAAATATTAAAAAACAAATAAAAATTATACTTTAGGCCGACTGGAATTTTTTCGGATAACCGACTTTCGGATAAACGACGCTCTACAGTATTTCATTAATTCTATCTGGCATTGTTTCAATAAAATTTGTTTCCACCTGATCTGTTATTTTGTTTTAATGATCAGTTTATCCTTTTTTAATTATTTACTAATGCACAGAGTATTGCTTTTTATTACTATATTCTTTCTTTGATAAAATACAAAGCATGCTCACTATAGGATTAACTCCAGAACAACATAAAGACCATTCCATGACATATACAACATTTACGAAAGATCAATTTCAAGTTGACTTTGTATTAACAATGGGTGCATTATTTTTTTTATTATTAGAGAATCTTCAATTCAATTTTACTTTTTTACTAACGAACTAGATTAAATTTTAATTTATTTTAAATTATAATTTTATCCACTAGTTTTGATTCTTTTGTTTAGTACATATTTTATGGACATGGCTACGTATAACATTGACATGAAGGAATGCAACGACATAAAATTAGCAGAACAAGACTGTTCTTCCACGGTGGATAAAGCTACAAAAGGTAAATATATTCATACGTAAATTAAATTTAACGTTTATTCTGTTGTATAGAAATACATTGTTACAAACAAAATGTAACAATATTCTCTGTAAAATGTGTCTACAAGAAACTTAAACAATAAATATATTCAGTACCTCTGTATAATTTAGTTTTTCGAAGCTGACAAAATAAATTCTTTCTTCCTAAATTATATTTGAATTTTGCGCTATTGTGTTCTTCCTGTACATACAAAATAAGCATAACTAATTCCATATTTACAACCTAATCATGCATAAATTAATTAAAATTGCCACTCGATCGTGGATTGAATTTGCTTTCTGGGCCGTAGAATTCTGCTTGGAAACATCTGCGCTTTTGGGATTATTTTCTGTTACCGATCAATCATTGATCCACTCTTTATTCATTTCCTCTTCTCCAAATAGGTGATTTTTACTGTTTCTTGGCTGTGAGTCGTGCAACTGGAACATGACAACATAGGAACTAATGTCTTCTAGAGAAAGATGTAACTTTTTTTCTATTTTTGTTCGTGTTTTTTTTATCGCAGTTAGTTCGATAAGTGACGACTAACGCCAATTCTTGTAGTTTGTTTGATTCTTAATTGTTCTGAGCAGCTCTTCCTACGTGTCTGAAACTCAGGACTAGTTTCACTTACTGTTAGTAGATAACAAATTCACTTCTACACTATCACCTTTCTTATCTGTTATTTAGAGCTCCTTCGATATATTTGAAAATTATATTAGCTTTTCTTTATTTTATTTTGTTCTCCTATTCCACTTTGCCTTAATTTTAATAGAAGAGTTTAACATCTATTTAAATACAAATTAAGAGGAAAGTATAAAATTCGAACGACTTTTAGCTTACATAATATGCGAGAAATAGTTTTATACATATAACATAGAACAGAAGAAGGCGTGAGCCTAATCAGTGATTAAATTAATAAACTAAGAGAGGAAAACCAATCATGTAGTCTCTTTGTAATGGATTGTAACATAGTTTTGTTCATCTAGCTGTATCAAAGTTGCTTCACTAGACAATTCGTCCATTGTTTTTTTCTGTTCTTTAGTGTGTTTAATTTTATTACATAATTTTGTATTGCACATGTATAACTTACGGATAATGTTACAACCAGTATTTCAATACAAGAAATTTATGATTACAGTACTAAATTATATAATAATCATTTAATAAAATATTTTATTGATTTCAGAGCAGTTAAAGATATGCCAAGAAAAATTAATGAAGAGATATAAAAACGAGAATGCTTACATGACTTCATTTCTTTGGAGTGAACACAACGACTTACCAATTAAAGATGCATTCGTGAATGTTAAACTACAAAAAACCGACATGTTAGGAAGAAAGACAGGAGAAATCATTCAAATTAAAGACATATTTGCCAGAGAGTCTAAGTTGCATCAAACAATCCTAATCACAGGAGATCCAGGATACGGGAAATCCACCATTTGCAAAAAAATCGCCTACGACTGGGGAATAGACGAAGAGTATCGCAGTTACCTCAAGGAATTTGAAATTTTAGTTTCTATTCACCTAGGCGAATTAGGAGAGAAGGGTGTACTTGATGCCGTTATTGAATGCATTGACAACCAAGAGGATAGAACATTTTCGAAGAAACTCAGAAAAGCTAATTGGAATTTTTTGATCATTCTGGATGGATTTCACGAAATTCGCGATAAAAATTGCGTTAAACAATTTATAAGTAATGATTCTATTGAAATTTCTAAGAAAATGACAATAGTCGTTACCAGCCGTCCACACGTTACACAAGAAATTAGGAAATTTATTGACTACAGATTTTGCATCGAAGGATTTTCTCAGGAACAAAAGAAGAAATACATCGATAATATTGTTAAAGACGAAGATAAAAAAAAGTATGTCGAAAGTATCATTAAAAAGAATCGCTTCTGTTTTGAATTAGCGAAATGTCCGTTAATGTTGTACATGTTATGTTGTCTTCCTAAAAGTAGAACAGACACATATATAATGACAAATGCCGATTTGTTCATTTTAATTTTTCGTCTTATTATAGAAAATTATAAAAAGACGAATAAAGAAACCCATAATTTAAAGAAAGGGAAATACTTTGACGGAGAAGATGTTATAATTAAACTAGGAAAACTTTACTACGAAAAGGAATTTCGTGATATTACAATGGCCACTTCTTTAGAACCAAAAAAAGTAAAAGAAGCAGATTTGAATAAAATTTTTACAGAAGAGGAATGTCAGTTTTTACTTAATCTTTATATTTTTGAAAAACGTACAGCAGAAAATAATGGAGAACATTTCGTATTTATCCATCGATTATTTACCGATTTCGTAATGGCTTTTTTCATCTTCGATTCGATCCACACAGTTGCTTTTCCAGAAATGGAAGGTATTTTATTTTTTATTCTCGGTTTGTTTAAAAATGAACCATTTGCCGGCAACTTTATTAATTTTTTACGAAGAATCTTCCTTCATCCCGTAACATGGCTTAATTTTTACAATGAAATAAAAAACGAAAAAAATAAAGAATTGTTCTGCACGAAAACAACATTAGTCTTTTATTTCGATTGTTTAGACGAATTCTTCAAATTATCAAATATTTCTAAATTGAATAAAATGTATTTATGTATTCCAAGTACTACTGATAATTATGAAAATATTAAAAAAGAATTAATTAAATTTCACAGTAATTTGAATTATTCACGCGATTTTCAGATTTTTGTATTCCTTGATAGAAGATTCTCTATGGATCCTAAAAGAAAACTTTCTCCTCCACATCCCAGATCTAATAGCCTTGACAGCTATATCGATCTATTTGAACCTGTACAATCTTTAATATGTTTATTTAAAAGCTACAGTTGGGATAAATTCAAGTTTTATTTACATGGCATCGTTTGTAGTAGTAATACAGAATTTTCTATTATATGCGACAGAAATATTGACATTTTTAGAAAAACCAATGAAGATGTCAAGCAAGAGTTAAATCTTAATTATAAAAGTCCCGTTGTTTTATCTAATGAGAGTGAATTTGGCGACGATCGCAAATATTTGATATCTACAAATCAATATTATTCTTTATTGCCGTACTTCAAAAAAAATTGTTTTAGTGAAGATTTTTTACCTGTCATGGGTTCACTATTTTCAACTGATTAAACCTTAATTATTACATTGAATATAACTATTTAATACATGTGAAATTCAATAGTAAATCTAAATAAATAAAATGATGTATTTTTCACTTCTGTCATCGTAATTTATTATATATCCGTTATAGGACACTAATACAACTGTTGTGTTGCAATAATTTAATAAACAAGTAAACAAACTTTATTATATATACAGTCATACCCCGAACTTACGCGATAGGTGGGACCGAGCGGTAACCGCGTACGTCGAACTCGCGTAAGTCGGGGTATAATTTTGCATATAAATACATATAAATAATTTTTCATTTGGATTGGAGACTAAGGAAAACAATAATTTAGAAAAAAATGCTTAATAAAATCTTAAATAGTACATATGTATCACAAATTATATTATTTTACAATTTTTTACATTTACTTGATTATTACGCCAGAATTTTAACATTGTTTCCATCTCAGCAATAATACTGTGACGTTTACGAAGGATGCTTGAATTTATAGATTAAGCATTTTTCACAGCTTCGAGAATTTTTTCTTTGCCTTTTATAATTGTTCTGACCGACGATTCCGTTAGAACAAACTTCTATGCCAATTGACAAATTTTAATTTTTGTATCGAACTTTTTAATAATGGGGTACGTTAGTAAAGTCAAATTTGAGTTAAACGCGTTAGTAACGAATTGTTCGAAAAGTCTAACGAAATAAGAATAACGATGACGTCATTCTCGTTTAACTCGTTCGACTTTACGAACGTACCCAATGTTAACTTTACATTCCAAACATATAGTTTTTCTTTTCTTCTTTGATGCAGAAGAATTAGTTTTATTTCGTTTGTATGACATAGTAGAGTCTTTCGAGTCTCCGTAGATATAAGAAACACAGAAATAAATAACACAAAATAAATTTTAGCTACGTGTCGATTCCGCGCGACACATGTCAGAACATGTCAGCTGAACAATAGTGTGGGGGGAGTGAGTAATCAAGAGTTGCATGTCGCTCAAACAAAAAACGAACCGACGAAATTTGAAAATCTCGTAACTCCGAGTTCGCGTAAGTCGGGGTAGCGTAAGTCGAGGTATTACTGTAATTTAACATCATAAGAAATAATTACAGTTCTATTTGCAGGTAACTAAAAATACAAATTATAAAGTAGATATATTTACTTTACATCGTACAAATTGACATTTAATTAACGTTATATTATACTTATTATTTAGTAAATAAATCGCATTTATTTTACGTAAAATAAACAACTCATTACAGAATTAAATTTACGAGAAAACAATTTACTGAAACATACAAATAATCGCCGATTTTATACTTAAGAGTTCACCTTTTAATATGAAAATAGACTTAGATAAGTTGAAATTACTTGTAATTAATTAAACGAAACTTTAATTATTACAGTTATTAATTAAATAACAAAAAAACAACGTTTACTAATGTCTGAATTTACTGTTTATTTTCGAAAGTGTTAACAAAGTTTAATAAATATTAAAGAATACTGCTATAAATTTAAATATTCTACTTACAAAATTACACTTTATTATATTGGTCGTTTTTTTTCTGTTTCTTACACTACTTGAGTGTGTCACAAATACAGTATACGTTTTTAAAAATGTTTTACAATCAATCAAAATTTACAATATAAATTGATATAGAAATTTTCAGAGTTATGTTATATAAATAACGTTTATACAATTCTTTATACAAATTTATTTTCGGTAATATTTTAATGAAATCAGGAATGGAATGCAGAAAGTGAAGAAATCGATTTCTGTTGTCTATTTTCTATTTGATTAAAGCATCGCTGGAAAAATAAAATAAAATAATAGTTAGTAAATTAAAATAGTTTACAAATACAATAATTCATATTGTATACACAAAAGGTAAATTATCTCTTCATTTAAATTATATTAATAAAATTTTAAGTGATTTTATCGACTATCTGTTTGCGTTAAATATAATATTGTCCAAAAATTTTAATATATTTTACAAGAAATAGACCTATATATAAACATATATGTACTGTACAGTGTATACGTGTTGTATATATATGAATTTATAGGGGAGACCGGGGCAAGACCGGCATGTTAAGCTGTACTTAAATTTTGTGTAATAAATACTGCTGTAAACTGGAAAAAAAGCTTTGCTTATTGTCTACTAGAATGTTACCTTACTATAGAACTGGTTAAAATCAGTTTGAAAATAAAAATAATTAAAATAATTACAACTTAACAGAAAGAGAGAAATTGCCGAAGTTGCCCCAGGTATAGGGGCAAGTTCGGCAGCTTCTCTCTTTTTGTAAAGTTGTAATTATTTTAATTATTTTTATTAAAGTTGCCCCTGGTATAGAGGCAACAGTATTGGGGCAAGATAGGCAGGTAGAAATACTTTGACAGAGAGGATGTTATAATTAAACTAGGAAAACTTTACTACGAAAAGGAATTTCTTGATATTACAATGTCCACTTCTTTAGAACCAAAAAAAGTAAAAGAGACAGATTTGAATAAAATTTTTACAAAAAAGGAATGTCAGTTTTTACTTAATCTTTATATTTTTGAAAAACGTACAGCAGAAAATAATGGAGAACATTTCGAATTTATCCATCGATTATTTACCGATTTCGTTATGGCTTTTTACATTTTCGATTCGATCCATACAGTTACTTTTCCGAAAATAGAAAATATTTTATTTTTCATTTTCGGTTTGTCTAAAAATGAACCAATTGCCGGCAACTTTATTAATTTTCTACGAAAAATCTTACTTTATCTCGTAACATGGCTTAATTTTTACAATGAAATAAAAAACGAAAGAAATAAACAATTGTTCTGCACGGAAACAACATTAGTCTTTTATTTCGATTGTTTAGACGAATTCTTCGAATTATCAAATATTTCTAACTTGAATAAAATGTATTTATGTATTCCGAGTACTACTGATAATTACAAAAATATTTAAAAAGAATTAATCAAATTTTACAGTAATTTGAATTATTCACATGATTTTAAGATTATTGTATTGCTTGATAGAAGATTTTCTGAGGAACCTACGAAAAGACGATCTGAGGAACCTACGAGAAAACAATGTAATGAACTTTTTGTATCAAGTAGATCTTGCAGATATATCGATTTGTTTAATTTTGTTTTCTATTTAATATGTTTATTTAAAAGTTATAGTTGGGATAAATTCAAGTTTTATTTTCGTGGCATCGTTTCCAGTAGTAATACAGAATTTTCTATTATATGCGACAGAAATATTGATATTTTTAGAAAAACCAATGAAGATGTCAAGCAAGAAATTATAGAAGAGTTAGAACTTCAAGATAAAAATCCCGTTGTTTTATCCAATGAGAGTGAATCTGGCGACAATCGCAAATATTTGATAACTAAAGATCAATGTGATTCTTTATTGCCGTACTTCATCAAAAATGATTTCAGTTGAGCTTTTACTTCTTAATAGTACATTCAAATTAGAATAAAATTCAGTCGTATATTATTTTATGGCAATTATTGATATGAATTACAGTCGACCCCCTATAACACTGTTGATAATTCAGTTTTATAAGAATTCCATGTTGTACGAGTCACTTAGTTTTTACAAATACACGTGCCGTTCATAGCCCGGCACACGTATTTGTAAAATCTAAGTGACTCGTACAACATGGAATTCATATAAAACTGAATTATTAACAGTGTTATAGGGGGTTCGACTGTATATGAATAAAACCCATATTATTATCAACTGTTTAAACCTTAATTATTAAGTTAAATGTAATGATTTAACAAATGTAATCTTTAGCAGTATATCTAAATAAAGAAAAATGATTTATTTTTCACTTCTGTTTTCTTAATTTATAGAATATCTATTATTAAAGTTGAGTTTTTGACTTATTAATACAATGGATTTCTAGGAAAGAACTTCAATTTCTGACAAGAACTACTGACAACGAACCGAAACGGGATGTTTTCTTATTCTATTTTCGAATTTTCTTCGATCGGGCTTTATTATGACACACAAAGTGACGGGATACAGGCGTGAGTCGTGCTACAACTTCTGTCAAAAAATGTGAAATAATTAACTTCATCATGGAAAGTGATCTAATTATAGTAAAAACAGATAAAGTTTATTTCCCTCTTTAATCAAATTCGAAAGTAAAGTAGAATTTAATAACTCTGTTTAAATAAAAAAAAAACTTTTAACACCTGTTAATAATTAAAAAGCCTTTAACGCTCTTTGGAAAACATTTCCACATTATAAATGGCTTTATTCTGTTTCAAACATTGCTTGAATAAAATAGAAATAATAAAATAAATAAATCAGATGTTCTCCAAGTTATCACAAAAATTTCAGGAAGCATAATATAAACTTAAATGTTAAAAACGTCTCCTTTGTTCGGTATTATTGAAGCTACATACATTTCTTCTACCCAAATTNTAAATAAAGTAAGATATATTTTTACTAATTATTATTTTTTTATACTTAAAACTTTTCTGTTGCATAGGCATGATCCGTAATATTTGTCGTTTAATTGCTTATTACATAGCATATATTAATATATATATATTATAGAGAATAGCATTATTCGTTGGACATTCTGCAGTTTATACTGTTTATAATTGATAACAGAACAATTAAAAATACTGTAGTTATATTTTATTTGAAATTACGGTGAATACGTCAATGGTAAAAAATACACACTAAAACGGCGCATTTTAACATTCAACTATTTATCAGGAAAAGATAAAAACTGTAGTGTTTAGTATTATAATGTGTAATAATAAAATCTTGAAAATAGACACGTAACGTTTTGTGTTTTCTCAACTCAACTTTTTAGTGGCTCTGGCTGTTATGATATTTTAATTAAAAACTTTTTATAGTATTAACTATTATAAAATGGTTAAAAGCTTAATGTAATAACGAATAAAATCGTCATTAAATGTCTCTTACTGGTGATACACATGACCTCTATTATCTCGCCACCCCTCCACCTATACACACTAAATTTTAACCTCATCAATCCCCCTAACACCCAAATAACTGTTGAAAATTTCAGAACTTTTCGACAAAATACACAAGAGTTATCAAGTTTCAAATCTGTAAACAAATTCGTATTCCCCACACTCATATTTGCAGGAAAACCCCGAAATTCTTTAAATTTCTCGATTTTTTAGAGTGTACTGAGTCCAGAAATGTAAAAGTTTTAAAGGGGGAGGTGTAATTTTTTGTTATATCGCCATACTTTCCTTCTGGTATATATAACGACCAGGAAAGTAAAAGCAATTTACTTATCTATTTAATGATCAATAAATATAACGATACTTTATACCTTTAAGGCTGAACGTATAATCGATTTTAAATTAATAAAATATAAAAGATTATTATTATTTACGTAATATATAAATTTTTTATGTAGTAGTAATTAAAAGAAGCATGTTAACAATTAATTTTCAGATTTAACCAAAGTTACTTTGTTTATTCCTATCTTTTATCCTTAATATTTTATGTATATAAAAACAAAGATTGTGTAATATTTTTTTCTTTATTCCGAATATTAATATTAAATATTTATCTAAGGTAATCAATAATTAAACATATTTTTAACACGGAAATAAGGAAAAAGTCAACGAACCGATTTAACAGTTGAGTAATTGGAAATGATGTATTAACATTACAGATTAATTTCAGAACTTGAGACAAAAAAAATGTATTTAATGTAAGAAGTTAAATAAATGAACACAAGCAGCTTTGGCAGTCTGTCCCGATTAACTCTCAACGATTGCCATTAAAAATTGCAGCCAGGCATTGTGAGAGTGTTACAATAAATACAGTAGATCCCCCTATAACATTGTTGATAATTCCGTGTTATATGAATTCCATGTTGTACGAGTCACTTAGATTTTACAAATACGTGAGCCGTTCACAGCCCGGCACACATATTTGTAAAATCTAACTGACTCGTACAACATGGAATTCATATAAAACGGAAAAACGGAAAAATCAACAGTGTTATAGAGGACTCGACTTATATATTTGCTCGTTGTATATAAATATAACATTTTATCTAAATTAATAGTTTTGTCCTATTAGCTTTAAATGCATTCAAACTTGTCTAATTTATCAAATATTTAATTTCGGTTACATTTACCGGGTTATTACACGAAAAAAATATAATGAAAGTAATTTTAAGAATATAAATTTTTTAAACCGAACGAACGAGAACGAGATGTGTTAAATACACCAGGTAACACAGAAAATTAGTGGGATCAGCCACCTGTCTTGAATACCTTGCACTCGTTCGTACGTGCTTTGTATGTATTTTTTTCCCTATCATATTAAACAGATTAATAAATTAGCGAAACTTATCAATTCGTATTAAAATATATTACGTTTTGCATAATTAAATTTGTATTATTATTTTTTATGTGTTATATACTTTTCATTTTCCTGCTAAGATATCAGAACAAGCGCAACTCTCATTCGATAAGATCACTGTATAAATACCTCCACAGCTTAGATATTTATTAAAAGAAAAGAAATCATCGACGAATATGGATTCAGTGCTGAATTTATTCGTATTTATTGTTACTTTTTCTGCAATTAATTGTTGGCATGATCCCACTGTTAGACCCGCAAATCCGTTTAACCATGCTGTAGAAACCTTTCAACGTTATTGTGGTAAGTGTTGGTAACATACTTTTACATTTTAATACACAGTTTTATGTTCTACCAATATTTATACGTATAATATTCTGTTTAAGCTTATAAAAGTCTATAAAAAAATTCAAAAAAGTTACATCTTTAATTATTTTTTCGTGTTTCAAAATAGATATGAGTGAAAAGAAGAAAGCGGATATTCGGTTTTGCTTGATTGAAAATAAAGCAGAATTGGTAAGCTTTTATAATTACAAAAACGTTTTATTTTAAAGTAAATATTTCTAACAATAATTTATTGTTATTTATTATGTAGGTTATTGAATTCGGTAAAAACTGTGTTCAACAACAGAAATTTTACCAAACACACGGCGAATTATCTGATTACATCTGTAAATTAAACGGACAGACGTCACCTCATGTAAATTTTTTGTAATTTTTTTTAACGTTATAATAATTATTATTAATTTTATAATCCAATAAAATTTATATTAATTAATAGGAATACGGGAAATTTGTCAAATGTTACGGTTCTGCTCTCTACACTTTGAGTTATGACGATCCGAAAACGTATCCCACTATTCATGTAAGTATTTAACTTAATAGTTATTTACACATTAATTCATAAATAATTATTGATCTATCTTCTTAAACTGTGTTTTGTTCTATTTCTATTGTTTATCCAACACAATATTGTGCAACTTGGCTTTCTTTCACCTTTATTTTAGTTGAATAGTTGCACTACATCGAGCTGAATTCAATATTATCGACAAAACACTAAAAATAGGCTACTGCAGTTTTTCAACTTACTTTTCTCCTACTATTTAGAAAAATTTAAAAAAGTAATATAAGAAAATGCATATATATTTAATTACATAGAAAAATTTAAAAATAAATACATAATTTTTTAATATAAATCAGAAATGTTAAGCTTATAAACGGATATTTCTTAAACTCTATACGCTTATATACGTATACTACATATATATACGTCACATATACACTATATATATATAAATATTTCAGTCTATATGCTGTAAAATATATTAAAACTTTTACAAAATGTGTTATTTTAAGCAAAGATATAACAAGAAAAATTACATTAAATTTGGTTTATATAAATTTAATTAAAACATAATTTGTTTTTTGTATATATTTACAATATGAATTATATAATTTGTAAACTATTTTAATTTATGTATGTTTATTTTATTTTATTTTTTCAGAAATGTCTTGAAAAAGTAGAAAATAGCCAAGAGAAATCGATTTCTTCACTTTCCTCATTAACATATCATTAAAAAATAAAGGAAAAATGTCTATAAAAAATCGTCTAAATGTTATTTTTGTAATTCCTTTATATTAATTTATGTTATAAATTTTGAGACGATTCGATTTGTATTTTATTTTGGATTGTGAAATATTCAAAGGAAAAGTATATAAATAAATACAATTTATTTACTGAATAATAATCATATTATATCATAAAATATGAACTTGTACGATATAAAATAAATACGTTTACTTTATAGTTTGTATCTGTATTTACATGCAAATAGAAGTTGGGAGCCGCACCTAAACTTCTTGTTATAAAAACAAACATTTTATAATCGTAATGTATTTATTTTGACAATTTATACATGTAATACAAATTTTATTACTTATTGTTATAGTAAACAAATTCACTCTTTATATCGTAATATTAGAAAGGTTGCGGCCGACGTTTTTAACGCGAAAACGTTTGACAATGGCGTTTAAAACGTCGAGCACGATTTTACTCACGTTCCAAACGT